TTCAACGGAAGGTTTCCAGATGGATATGAGGAGCAAATCCATCTGGCGGAGTCAGGTTAATCCACCATGGGTTTATATTGCACAATAGAACCATTTCAGTTGATGACATGATCACTACTCATGGGGAAAAATGTCACCCGTCAAATTGACGGCCAGTGGGAGTTCTAAGATCAGAATTCTGGGAGTCCTGGTGTTAAGAAAAAAGAATCCGGTTTTTATGTATCCGTAAAATCTTTTTAGCTCAGATTGTTTTAGCGTTTCATGTCTAATGAAGCTCTGGGTAAAAAAGCTTGGTTAGCACGAAGGAACCCTCGTGAAACAGATAATAAAGTTTAAAATCACAGCATTAAAAGAGAGCAAGGTTTTACCTGAATAAGTCGAGTCAGCGTACTGAAAAGCCAGTGCTTGCTGTAAGCAGTGTCTCCGATGGCGTCCAGATCATCTCCCTCCTCTCCATCAGCTCGGTTTGGAGGAGGAGACGGGTTACGATCCATATGAGGAGACCGGGGTCCATCTGGAGGGGACGATTCCTCTTTTTCTTCCTGCTCTGCAGCATCAACACTGCTGTCTAGAGGATTAAAAAGAAGCATGCTTTAATAAAGTCATAGCAGAGCCATTTAGCTTGAATAGAATTTATTCAAATCCAGCCTTAACAAACAAATGTTGAAGCAGAAAAAACAAAAATTGTCATAGAACAACAATATCATTACTGTACAGTTTAATCATGAAAAAGGTCTTTTAAATAGTAGTAAAATACGAGTTCCTCAATATAATAAGGGCTAGAAAGTAAAACTGCCACACACACCATGTAGCTGCCATCAAAGTCAGAATAAATAAATAAATCATAGATCAATAAATATTTAAGTTAAAAATATTGAGCTCATAAATACATACATTTCTAGTAATAAAGGTTAAATATTAAAAGCATAATTTCATGTGTTTCTTGTATACTGTTTGTTTGATCCCTTATCCAATAAGAACATCGGGACTGAAGATTCTTATTTTCTCTCAAGGGAAAGCGGCCAATGAGGTACATTTTAGTTTAATTTACTGTTTACTTTTTTTGACCGTTAAGATGTAACGCGAAGAATTTCTGTTGAGTCATATATTGTATGGTCGCTTTTTTACTTTGATGTCTTTTCAGGGAAATAATTAGTTTGTTTGCTTTTCTTTCTGTATGTTTTAACAGTTCTCACGGCACACTATCATGCTTCTTGTGTGATTAAAGCCAGTAACTAAAAGAACGACTTGGTTTCCTGATTTTCGACTTGAGAGGGAATTACACACCAAATATATATCTGTAATGACAACATAAATGAAAGTTAAATGTTTCATTTGAACCATTCTTTAGCTCTAAATGAATTTGTCTATAATGTTTAACACATAAATATAGTGTAGTTACCTTTGTTCCTTTCATATTGATTTATGTGTTTCTATGTTAGACTCCTGAGATGTTAGCTTCTTAAACCCTCTCACTGCACTTCCTTCATATAATTTTTTTATTATTATTATAACCATTGTATAAAACAGACAAGCTTTCGGCATCAGATGAATGTAAACATAAAAAAACCTGGAGAAGCTGATCCTGGTTGCTTTCATATTTACAAAAAGAACAAATAGAACAAAAAAAACAAAAAAAAAAACAAAGAAAACAAAACATATTCTCATCATTTCCAGATTGTTTCATCATATTAAACGGTTCTGAATCGTGTTCTGAGTGCATTAGTTTTAGAAATAAGAAGAGGTGGCAGAGTGAAAAGTGGCGAAAGATGGTTTGATTTTAAGAAAACAACATTTGTGAATAAAAAACTTGCCCATGATGATTATTACATTTAGTAGTCTTTCAAATTTCTTTTCTCAAAGTCTTAAAAAATAATGTATTTCTTAGAGAATTCAGGTAAGTTTGGAATTTAATCCTTAGAGGAGTAAACACCTGAAAAGATTGTAAAGTGGACTTCCTGGGGTTTTGGATGAATGTGAAGATATAAATAATTTCTTCTAATTTTTACCCTTTTAGCATTTAAAAAAAAAAAATGCGATATAAAATTTTAATTTAATACAAAAGGAGACAAATAAATAACAAAGCATTCCCTAATTTTTGAGTTTTTTTAGTTAATAATCTGTGATACTGTCCCCATTAATCCGAGAAGCAAAGGGCTTCTGTCAACAGACTTCTCATAAAAACATTCAGCTGTGCATAATATATTTGGACGAATAGCTGTAATATTTTTTTTTTTCCACTTTTAGTTATTTGCGGGTTATATTTAATACTGAAGACTTCATAAAACATAATCCCTCCATTATTTAATAAATGCATCACAGACCAAACACCTTGTTGTAGCCAATTACCTGTAAAGATTGAATTATTATTCGTTTTTATGTAACGGTAATCCCACACGGGATGATAGTGTGGGCTATATTTATGTTTACAGATTAATCTCTTTCCTTCATATATTCTAGCTAACTGCTATAACTCGCTCAAACAGGCAAAAGGTAAATATCTGATGTTAAAAGTAAAAATATCTTTTCAGTCTCACCCATAACGGCCACTCTGCGTGAATCTAACTGGTTATTTTGGTTTTACTTCGAAGTTTTAAAACATTTTAAATGCAGCACCGCTAAATTTCAAACATCCTCCATTTCTGAGGGTTGCCCGGTTGCGCATGCGCGAATAACCTTCTTCTGGTTTAAAACCAGCGTTTTAAAAGACAATATCGCCCCCTGCAGGAAGCAAGCGGAAGTGACAGATCTGAATGCTTAAACCCAGTACCGTTTGATCATTTTTACGGTCTGATAAAATAATATTAACTTATCACTCACATCCTAAGATAAAAATATATTCTTTGATTATGTATAAAACCTTACTCTATCATATTAAAGCTCCTTCTCCATCAGAAGCCCTTTTTTTGGCCTTTTTAAAAGTGTTTTTAATCTTTTTTGGCACAGTTTATACAAACTATCATTGGTGGACAAAGTACTCAACAGTAGTACTTAAGTAAAAGTTCTGATACTCATAGTCAAATCTTACTCAACTACAAGTAAAAGTTATTATTATTAGTACTTTAAAAGTACTCAGTCAATAATCTACCCAAGTTAAAATATTCAAGTATTCCCTTTTGAAAACACTTAAATATTCAAAAGTACATTCATTTAAAAGTACTCAAGTGTTCAAAAATACAAATTAAATGTTCCAATATCAGTAAATGTCTGTATAATTTTCAGAGTATTTTTAAAGAACCTGTAACTTTCAGAAACATCCTGATGTATTGATGCATAGAACCACCTGCTATAGATTCTACACCACCTGGAAAGAACTTCAGCATAAAAATGACACAGAAAATAAGGACAGATATTTGGATCATTATTTCTTATTTAAAAATAAACCAAAAAGAAAGCAGGAGCGTTTTGATTCTCCTCATTCTCTCACTATGGAATAGAAGTTTAAGGTTGAATCTAGAATAGAAGCTATAACTCTGCATTCAGACTCATCCTACTGAACAACTTGGCCACATGGTAACAACTATCAACTTGATAAAATTATAAACTACTAATAATATCTGCTCTGAGTTTCTCTCATCTGTGGAACGTCATTAAATCTATAAATCAGTGGCGTCCAGATTCAGTCCTAATGGCTGTTATCCGCCATAATGGATGAAAAAAAGCAACAGAGGAT